TTTTATTATTATTATTTGTGACTTTATTCAAAATTATATTTTTGGTACAATATAGAATTCTTAGCACAAAGTAGTAAATCAATATCTTGTTTTTATAGATCTATGTCACTTTATTATCAGGATATTAACAAGATTTTGTCGTTAGATAATACTTGGTCATATGTTCATGTGCTATATAACAGCTGAAGATTAGATAAAAAACTGGTTTAATTCATTTATCTACTGGGATATCTATTGAAGTTTCGGTTGTATTAGGACAAATTATGTAAAAAAAGAAAAAATTAAAAAATCTGAGAGTTAAGACAGTATATATCTTAAGCATAAATTCTCAGTCAATCGATGAGTAAAAATCTCATGTGATGAAAAGTTGTATCTTTTAATAATCGTTTTGTTAATGGAACTTATTTAAAGCACGTGTGTGGTCAGCATCTTTCTGATGTTAATGTTAATGTCTAAGTTCAACTAATCCACGACACATCCACCATTGTCATCAGTGATTTACTATCTCACAACTGACCCGGTTGAACTCGACTGGTCACTGCTTCTCACTAGAATTCCAGGATATACATCTTGAGGCCGGTCACTAGTGAGCATATGTTGATTAGTATCAGAAGGGGGTTTGTGGAGATTGTAGTAATTTCAATAGTTGAGATCATGAGTCAATTGAAGCTAGACCATCATGGAAAACCTAGAAACACTGGACGGCCCCGGGTTCGAATCCCGCGAGTTCGAGTCCCACAATAGAACGAAACAGCTGTCCAGTGCTTCCAGGTTTTTCATGATGGTCTAGTTTCAATTAACTCATGGTCTCAACTATTAAAATTACTAAAATCTCCACAAACCCCCTTCTGATACTGAATATCATTTATACAGATATACTTTTTAAGTTACCAGATATCATGTAGTCTTATGTTTTCTATCATTAAACTGATAATAAAATATATTAGTTTTATATAAGAATATAATGTTTACTTATAAGACAAATAAATACTTAAATAATTAACATCTTGAATTCAAAAGTGAATTTATTTATTTATTTGAAAAAGATAAAAAAATATTTATCCTTTCTAATAAATACTGAATTTGTTGTTTATAAATTTGAAATTTTTCTGATATTCATTATTCAAGAAATCATTTTATCCAATGAAAAGATATGAACAATATTATTTACAATAGAAATTTAATAATGAAAAAGATCCAATTTATGACCTCTAAAACAAATGAGTTAACAGTGAATATTTTGTATGTGTTCATATTATTTATTATTAAGAATATTTTTTAAAACAATCTTTTATCTACATGATTAACTGTAAAGTTGAGTTGTTTTGCTGTTGTTGTTGTTTTTATTTCGATCACAATGATTTAGTATGTTGACTATTGTTTTTTTTAAGAAAAATAAATTTACATAATTATGTAAATATTTAACTAATGGTGCAAGTGCGCCCACCAAACCATCCAGCTCAGAGAACAGAACTCCATCAAAAGTGCATCCATTGTTTGTGTTCTCTCAAATTTTAATCTTCTAAATTCTTCATGTCCCTCTTTTTTTCCACTTTCTAAATTTATTTCAACGGATTATAATATTTGAATAACATCTTCAAACCCTAATCTTTCTGATTACGGCTTATAATTTTACTATCTCTACCAGTATGAGATCTGAATTAACAATTGTATTTTTGTTTTAATGTGGTATGGCAACTTGGACTGATGTGCGTACGTACGAAGTTCTATGTTGTTGATGACTGACTGAATGATACAATGAAATATTATTTTCATGTTTTAAGTCTCGTTGTTTTGAAGTATTTACTTTCTTATTTATTTACTAACAATGTTGATTTTGGCTAATTTTACATAAGATTATGATAATTAACTACTGAATGAACTATTTTATGTTTTGTAAACCAATAATGTATTTTTTATTACTGAAAGATTGAAAATACAGACATAATTAGCCATGTACGAAATATGTAATATGTATTATATATAGGAAGTTGTATTATGTGAATATATAAGCTGTCGAATACGCTTTTTTGCTTCAGGAAGAAAGCCACTGTACTTTCAGTGAAAAGCGAAGAATACACTAGTAGGAAATAGTTAGGATACTGGTGAGAAAGTTCTAATAAAGGAATGGAGGTCGGAGAGTACTAGGTAATTATCCAGTCCTAATAATAATAAGGAAGATGGTCACGCGACTTCGTTGGTTGGTTGAGGTTAGACATTAACACCGTTGGATACCGACTCAATGGTCTAAAGGTTAGGCGTTAGCGCGCGAGACCGGAGGCTCTGAGTTCGAACCACATGAGCGGGAATGTGGATGCTCACTGTTGAGTAGTTTCACAATAGGATGAAACGGCTGTCTAATGCCTCTAGGTTTTCAATGGTGTTCTAACATCAGCCAGTTAATGATCTCAATCAAGAACTTAAAAATCTAAACCCCACACTGATGAACTCTTAACGCTGAGTATTCATGACACTACGTCAAACTGAATTCACAAAGTTTGCATCAGTATTCAATAAAAAAAGTTTCTTGAATTAAATGAGTCCTAAGATGGAGTATCTGTAATCTTCGTAAACTTCAATAACCTGAGGTTCCATCCGAGTCAGAAGTAAGAAAGTCACTTATTTATGACACCATCTTACAATGACACATATTAGAAACTGACTGAGTTACAGAACTACCAACTATCAGGTACTATTTCAGAGTCTGAATTATACCGTTATACTCACGATATTTGAAAGTTTTTAATCTGACATCATACAAGGTGATGATTACGTATTCCAGAGAATCCTAAATTAGAAAGAACTGGAAGTTTAATACTCTACGGCCTTTATACAGTCTGTAGCTAATTAAAGTTTATACCAAACATTTAAAAAAACTTGCATTTCTTCAAATAGAGTGTTTTAAGAATAATAAGCTGTTTTGCCTATTGTGGATCTTTTATTCTGGACGAAGTAAGCTTTTAATCATTATTCTAAGACTATTCGGTGGCAAACAAAGTTTGTTTCTTTGTAGCTAATATACATATAAAGCGATTGTCCACCGCGAGCAATAAATGACTGTTCCGCAATATAATGAGCCTAAAGAAATTATACATTTACATCACTGGATCCCGGATCACTGGTCTAAAAGTTGATCATTTGAGCACGAATTCGGATGCCCTAGGTTTGACTCACGATTGCGGGGTCACGGATGCTGACTGCTTAAAGGTCTCATGCTATGATGCAAAGTCGTGTTTAATGGTTATCTAAATCAGATCGATTCGTGATCTCAACAAAAATCTCATAAGTAGTACTAAATTTATTCGATTTCCTCATTGATGTAAACCACGAAAAAATTGTTCATTTAACATGTAATTAAACTTCACATCTTAAATTTCATATTGTATATCATTAGCCTAGTTGAAATGTTACCATCCTCCATAAACTGTGTTTTCCAAGTCACAGAATGTATAATACTGGTACTACTTTTAAAATATCTGCACGAAAATACTGAGAACCATACTTTCTACTGGAATGGCGTACCACTAAAATTATTCTTCTTTGTCAGTATAGGGTTGTAGAGATTGTTGAGATTTTATTGAGATCATGAACCAACCAATTTTAGAATACCATTAAAAATCTGAAGGTACTGGATGACCTTTTCGTCCTAGTATGGAACTCGTCAAAAGTGCTCAACCACAATCCCTCAAGAGTGACCCAGACCCAGGACCTTCATATTCGCGCGAACTCTTAATCTTCACAACCCTATAGTGATAATTATCATGTACCTACTAGTCACTCTCTTCAAGAGGTGATTCTTGGAGTTCTAGCAAAAGGCCGTAACTAGTGAAGTTCAGTCGCGTCTGGCATAATACTGTTACCCACCGAAGACAATTAAAGATGGTCAAGCAATATCGTGTATTCGTTAAAGTTAGGCATTAACACCGTTGTACCTAGGTTTAGTTGTCTGAAGGTTAAGCGTTCGCGCGAGGCCGAGGGTTATTAGTTCGAATCCTTCATGTGTGATCGTAAATGTAGACTGTTGAGGAGCCTTATGCTAGAAGAAAACGGCTGTCTAGTGCTTCCAGGTTTTCAGTGGTGTTCTATCTTTGATCAATTCATGATATTCTTTATTGGTTTACAGTCTTCCGATTCCATATTTTGTCCCAGAACTAAAATAGATCAAAAGTATGATCCAAAGGACTCAACCAAGCTTAAACGCCTTCTTCCTTTCATTAACTAAAACTACTTCCTGCTTGATTGCCAACTTCGATATAAAATCTATCTTGTAATGAATATTAAGATCAAGAATACATTTCAGTTCGGAATATAAAAAATCTTTCGATTCAAATCTCTACATGTATACATTTCAACTAATAAACGCAAAAGAAATTCGCTTTTCAATTTGCTAGGCATTATTTCAGCTTTATAATTTGGCATGTGTGAATTTATGTTTTTTAAATTAAAATAATTGTGAGGAAAACACCATAAAATTTATTGACAACAATACATAAATTCTATCGATAAAACAATCAGAAACAAATTTTTGAATATTATTGCTTTTACTAACATTTCTACCCTGCCGTTCCAAAATAACTCTAATTGAAGGACCAAGAATCTAATAAGGGTATTTTTTTCGCCTTGAATGACAAAAACCATCACAGAATACTTTTTGAGATTTATGATTTACTACTTATTTGATGCTAAGTAGCCCAGAATGTAATATGCATTTTTCAGGCTAATCTAAACTTTGTAGATGTAATCATGAGAGCATCAACGAGTAGCCACACACACAGTAAAACCACACTAAGTATTTGAATTATTTGAAGTGAAAAATTTTACAGAAACTATGCCTTTGTTCTAAATTTCGGACTATGTATTCTGTAATGATGATAAACAATCAAATAAGTACATAAGTTGGATTCAATTTTTTAAAAAATGTTTATACATTCATATAATGACTTGAAAAAGACTCATTTTCAAATAACTTTAATATTTGAATCAAAATATCATTGACTCACACTTATAGAAAGTTTCCACGCACCAACTGCAAAAACCGTAAATGTTTGAGTTCTTGTTCTTATGCTCAGGCGTAAACGATTCGGAACTTTATCAGTGAATAATGCATTGTAAACTACATTGGTTGTAGACCAGCCATCAGAAACTGAAAAGCAGAAATCACACAACACAAAAAATACATACATTTTCTGGAAGAAATGTATTTAATCAAGATACTCGCACCGGTTAGCTGCAGGATAGATAGCAACTCCATGTTTTCATAGTATTCAATCTTAATTTAGTTTTGTAAAACAACTTACAACGAGACCATTAGTCTAAAGGAATATGACACTAAGTGAAATATGCTTCAATGTTATGTAATTACAAGCAATCGGCAGTTGACACCCCAGAAGTACATTTCTTGGTACTCTTTAGCGACGAGAATATATGCAGTTTTGCTGAAAGTGTACTACGTATTGCTGTATTTAAACACGTTGCTGCCAACCCATGAAAATTTTGTGTACAGGCACTGAATATTTCGAAAATATTATCTGTCGTATCATTTGTTAACTGTAATTTGTCCATCGTCTAAGAAGTGATGTATTATTTATTTTATTAATGTATAAATCTATACATATCCTAGGTGTATGCTAAGTCTTTTGAATATATCTAATACAGTTACTAAAATTCCCTACCAGTTGTCCATTTAAGTTTTTACAATTATTAAGGTTTTCATTTAGGAATAATACCCGGTACAACTAACTATTTGACACTTTCATTTTTATTTCTGTCAGTGTGACAAATAATTCTTATTTATCTAAGTTTTGAGATATTTTAAAAGAAAGTATAAAATAAATCAGCTTCTTTTCAAGCATATCAATATAGTTAGATAAGTATAAACCAGATTAGTATAAATAACTGGACACCATACTCCATTGTATTTAGCTTTTACATTACATGACTACAAGCAGTAAATTTTTAATCTATGATAAGTAAAAAGTAATTAAAAAAACGAGTCGTCACAATTACGAATTTGACAAAGATTTACGCAGAACATTCTATTAAATAAACTATACACAATTCTGATAATAAATAAGATCACTGTTATATCAATCGCTCCCTTATACTTTTGTATTTTTCAATTTGGGTAATTATGTTTATCAGATGTCATAGTTGCTATAAGAGATAGATAGAGTTATAAAACAGTTCAACTATTCATTCAATTGTCAGATTTTGTATATCCATTTAATCACTTTCAAGCAATTTTGATAAAACTATAAGAACACAAATAAATGTGTTTTTCCAAAAGCTTTACTTACTAGTTTCACATGGCCATCTATGTGGTTTTGGTGCACCTGTTATATTAGGTCGATAACCTAATTCACATTGACAAGTCAGTATATCGGTGGAACTTATTGCATTTCGACATTTTCCATACGTTCCACATAATTTTACACTACCTCTTACACAACCTTTCTGGGAGTCTGGACAACCACGCCGAGAACCTTGCGATAAAAGTACCGGGTAGAAATCGATCAACTAAAAAGATAAAATAGGCTACATTTTAGTTCAATTAAATTTCAGGATTGATTTATGAACATTAACTTAACAAGGATATCATTTACAAGCTGAATATTTTACACCATTCTACGTAAATTGCTTTCACATCTATTGAGCAATTACTAACATTAAGCATTTTTACATCAAACACTATCTGGACTTAAGTTGTTTCAAATACAAATACATACAGCTGACCTTCATAAGTTAATAAAGCGTTCAGTGAACTCCAAAGTTTGTTAGAACGGTATGTATATTTACCGAGAATTTTACAAATTCTCCGGGACTTTCGGTGTTTGAAATCTTAGCATCATATAAATTTATACAATTATATTAGACTCTATAGGTTTTACGCACTATATGTGAATCAGTGGTAGAATTAAGGGAAGTAACAAAATTGTATCTTCTAAGCTAGTTTTTCGTTTCAAAAGATATAAATGATGGTAATTCAAGCCATTCTAGTTTAACCTAGTTTACAATTGAGGAAGAAGACAATTCCTTGACGACAGAGTTCAAAAGATAATAATCATAAAACCAAATATTCACAATAACCAGAAACGAATAGGGAGGGAAACTTTATAAAAGGTTGTGATAAAACTGGATAAGTTAACTACAGTGTGACAATTTAACTGAAAATTTACTTCAAAAAATTTACCTCTCTGTTCACCATAACATTATCAAAACATCCTCTAAATCTCTCTGTAGATGGACCAGATTCATCACCTATTAGAATATAACCTCCTATTTGTATTGTATTCACTGATAAAATCATTGTATCGTTCACCATACACGGTCCTAACTCAGAATATTTACAACGGTCTATCAATAAGACTAGATTCCATTCTCCCTTGACCTGTATAAATAATTGACCAAATAGGAAAATTTATCAAAAATATGTAATAACTTAGTGCAAGGTATTCCAAACTATTCCTTTTCTCGATTCAGTACATAAGAAAAGCATAATAGAATCATCTTAAACTCGACTTGTTTTCATGCCATACTCGGCATCAGAATAAAATTATTTATCTGGTGTGAGTTTCAAATTGGTTAACGATACAAGATTTGAAAACTGTTAACTCAAATGAATGAAATCCTAATCAATAAGTGAACACAGTTATATCAAGTGGACGAGTAATGACTTCTTATCGTCCTGAATCATTGACAAAAACACCAAATAGATTCATTTTAAAAGCTGGACAATTCACTGAAAGAAGTGAAGTTGTATATTTATATATAAAATATTAGGCATATGAACAAATATTATTTCATGTCAGTTAAAACATAAGCGATTGAAAGTCACAGATTGTGTACGCCACTCAAAGGTCAGTGACTTTCAGTTTAGATTATCAGATTCAATATTTAACTGATGTGTCAAAACACCGGATTATAACATTCCTTGGAAATTCTACGAGTAATCACTGAAAATTGAACTCTATACGTTTTATCCATTTGGGTTTACATCATTACTCAAAAGTTTATGTCTTCAAAATAAATGATCAAAAGCAATAGTTATTTTTTATCATTGGTTTTGATTTGACGTTAAGGTGATGATTTTCAGATGTCTAAATCTTAAGTTACATTTATAAAAAGTGGATCTGCAGCGAATGATCGATGAGAAAAACTAATTGACAGAAAAAATTGTTCACTGTACACTAGTTGTCCCCCATGCTCATGAGAGCATGCAATAAACTGACATAGCTCAGAAATTTTCATTCAGAAACTATTGACTTCATTATGAGAAAAATAATTAAACCTACAATTCATATATCTTCACTCCCTAAATTACTCCGATATTACTTTATTGTGTGAAATAATAAACCAGTGTATACAACTAACAGGATCATGTAACTAGTCAAATGGAATTAATTCAATTTTACTGAGAACCAGGTGCCTGCATTATTCTTGCTATTTGAATCTAATCCCATTTGACCAAAATCAATGAAAAAAAAACAGTTCATTTTTTAAAATATTACCTGTGTATTCAGAAAAATATCTACAAAATGCCAAGCATTGTCATTTAGTGCAACAGCACCTGGAGGTAAACGAAGAATTTTTGAACTTGATAGATAAATGAAATTTACACTAATTCGTCCAAATTCAAGAAAAGCTTTGATTTGGATTAGTTGTTCATTTAAAAAAAATGTAGAATTCTGTAAAAAAAAACAACAGTACATTAATCTTCAAAGAGTTTATTTATTTCATTCTACCATAAACAGTGCTTCGATGTATATATATATATATATATATAACCACAATTTATATCACTAATTAAACTACGAGAAACGCAAGAAGAACTGGATAACCATTTCGCTCTCGTATGGGACTCTTATACAATGAGTATTCGCGAACCCTCAGTTGATAGCCAAACTCGGGTCTTCAGTCTCAACCTCTAAACCATTGATCCGACATCGAACGATGTTAATATCTGACTTTAAAAAGTTTACGATATTGTGGAACCCATATGAGTTATTTATGGTGGATGTGTTGGAAATCCGCTTCGTGATCGAAACTATGGAAATATAAAACCTCCACAAATCTTGTTAAACTAATAACAGTCGTGTACTCACTAGTCACTCCTTCAACTTCAATAAGCTAAAGCACCTCAGAAAAGACATAGGGGTTTAAAAATATCGTAAATTGTTTGAAGTTAGACATTAACAGCGTTTGACGTCGGGCCAGTGGTTCAGAGGTTGAGCATCTCTTCACGAGACCGAAGACCCGAGTTTGGCTACCAACTAAGGGTTCGTGAATATTCATTGTATAAGAGTCCCATACTAGAACGAAACGGTTATCCAGTTTTTATATTTTTCATGGTGGTCTGAATAAAATCAGATCGTGATTTCAACTATGGAAATTCTACTATTTCTATAAAACCGCATATATATATATATATATATATATATATATATATATATATATATATTACTTACTTACTTACGCCTGTTACTCCCAATGGAGCATAGGCCGCTGACCAGCATTCTCCAACCCACTCTGACCTCGGCCTTCTTTTCTAGTTCCATCCAATTCTTGTTCATTCTTCTCATGTCTATCTCCATTTCTCGGCGTAATGTGTTCTTTGGTCTTCCTCTCCTCCTTCAGCCTTTAGGATTCCATGTGAGGGCTTGTCTTGTGACGCAGTTCGGTGTTTTCCTCAATGTGTGTCCTATCCACTTCCAGTGCTTCTTCCTGATTCCTTCCTCCACTGGGATCTGATTTGTTCTCTCCCACAGTAGGTTGTTGCTGGTAGTGTCCGGCCAGCGGATCCGAAGTATTTTGCGTAGACAACTGTTAATAAACACCTGTATCTTTTGGACGATGGATTTCGTAGTTTTCCAGGTTTCCGCCCCGTACAGTAGAACTGTCTTGACATTTGTATTGAAAATTCTGACTTTGGTGTTGGTTGCTAATTGTTTTGAGTTCCAGATGTTCTTTAGTTGTAAATATACTGCTCTTGCTTTGCCGATCCGTGCCTTCACATCTGCATCAAATCCACCGTGTTCATCGATGATACTACCCAAATATGTAAAGGTTTTTGCATCTTCCAAAGCTTCTCCGTCAATTGTGATTGAATTGTTATATGCTGTGTTGTATCGAAGAATCTTGCTTTTCCCTTTGTGTATATTGAGACCTATTGCTGCTGAGGCTGCAGCTACACTGGTTGTCTTCTCCTGCATTTGTTGTTGTGTATGCGATAGAAGAGCCAGATCATCTGCGAAGTCTAGATCATCCAATTGCATCCTAGCTATCCACTGTATCCCGTGCTTCCCTTCAGATGTTGACATCTTCATGATCCAGTCGATCACCAAGAGAAAGAGAAAGGGTGAGAGTAAGCAACCTTGCCTGACACCGGTATTTACTTCGAACGACTTTGTCAACTGTCCTCCATGCACGATTTTGCAGTTTAATCCATCGTAGGAATTCTGTATGATATTGACTATCTTCTGAGGCACGCCGTAGTGTCGAAGAAGCTTCCATAGGGTTGTTCTGTCCACGCTATCAAATGCTTTTTCGTAGTCGATGAAGTTGATATAGAGTGATGAATTCCATTCAATTGATTGTTCCACAATGATTCATAGAGTTGCGATTTGGTCTGTGCACGATCTATCTTTACGGAATCCTGCCTGTTGAAGACTTTTCCTGGTGTTGAGGACGATAAATTCCCCAAAAACTCACATTTGTAGTTTTATCGATTAGCTTATCGATTAAATGTTTAAATATTTGAATAGCAATCAATTGACGAACTTATTGACGAATGTTTAAAAATTTAAATGATAATATCGATTATATATATTTGTATATATATGTTTTAAATTGTTTTGGTTGCTTTGCTCGTTTCTGGTTGTTGCAGAATACACTTCTCATTTCAAGCTTGGACTTCTTCCTCTAGATAGAGGGGCTGGGACGCGTCATTAGTTAGCTCACTGGTCATTGGTCATCGAATTTCGTTCTCGTTAGCAAATCTAAGTGAACTCGTTAAGCTTCAAACCTAACACCTGGTATTGAGAGAAGAGTGATTCCCCTGTAGTTGTCACAGTTGCTGAGATCGCCTTTCTTTGGTATTTTGACTAAAAGTCCTTCTTCCCAGTCTTTTGGTACCTGTTCCTCATCCCAGATCTTTCTGAAGAGAGTTTGGAGTATCCTTGCAGTTGCCACTACGTCTACTTTCAGTGCCTCTTCTAGAATGCTGTCTGGTCCTGTTGCTTTGCCACTCTTGATTTGTCTGATAGCCATGCTGATCTCTTCAAATGTTGGTGCGCCAACATCAATTGGGAGGTCCGTGAGTGCTGCTTCGATGTTGGGTGGGTTCAGTGGGGCTGGTCGATTCAAGAGTTCTTTGAAGTGTTCTACCCATCTGTTTCGTTGTTCTTCAATGTTGGTGATTATCTTGCCTTCCTTGATTTTCACTGGTCGTTCTGGTTTACGGTGATCTCCAGAGAGTTTCTTTGTTGTGTCATACAGTTGTCTCATGTTTCCTTCTCTGACAGCCTTTTCCGCCGTCATTGCTAAATCTTCCACGTATTTACATTTGTCAGTTCTGATGATCCTCTTCACTTATTTGTTTACTTCTGTGTATTCAGCCTGTGCCTTGGCTTTTTCTGCTCTTGTTCGACTGGTATTGATTGCTGCCTTCTTGTTCCTTCTTTCTTGAATCTTATCCAGTGTATCGATCGTGATCCAATCCTTGTGATGGTGCTTCTTTTGGCTCAGAACCTCATGATATGTTGAAGTGATTGCCTCTTTTATCTCTTTCCTGTTGCTCTCCATAGTAGTTCCTTCTCCATTGAGTAGATCAACCTTGACTGTTTTTATATGAGCGCATGTGTGTACACTTGTTATCCTACCTATCACATGTCTGTATTTAATTTTTGTGTGACTATAAATATTGATTAACGCTTGAATAAATGGAGTTGGCTTACACTCTTTCTCCACCGCGCGTCATTTCGCTTAGCTCTCTTCTCTTCGTTTCTCCGATATGATGTCTGGATCACAGATTGTATGAAATATACATATTTGAAATATATTCTAGTATTTGACGTATTTAATTCCATCACTAACTAACCCGAGTTAAGTCAATAATTGTATAGTAGGATTGATGATATGTATATTTCAATATCATTTATGCGATCAAATTGGAGCCAGATATACAGGACCACTAGTGAATGCATTCAAAACGTATTATTTTAAATATATTACATAACTTTCAATTTTTTATGATGAACTATTTGTATTAGAAAATCCTTATCAATGAACACTATTTCACACAAGTAACAACTCCATAAATATTCAATTTGAATTTTCCACTGAAATAAATATAGATATCTATAGATGATTATTGGTTAAATGATCAATGAGAAATTAGTCAGTATTTATAGACTGATACACTTTGCTGCAACACAAAATCAGAAAACTATTAAGACTCACTTCATAAATATCCATTCCCTGACTGCTTAATTAACTACTAACGTTAATAGCCCATATACGTTACTTTTAACAGATTTTGGAAACAAACCATCAGGTCGAGGTAATTCTAATCTTATTTTAAATTTGTTACAAGTCATCTTAATATTCCTTCTGTGATTAAAACTAGATACCATAAGACTGAAGAATAGCTTTGTCCAGATAAATGAATTTTCAATTTACTATCAAATGTTTCAGCCACCTATTTTGTCAAGTTTTTTTTCAAATAAAAAATTGTATTCGGTGTTGAAAAATGAAAGCAAAATAGTAACACATTTAGGCTTCAGTTTTCATGGGACTATTACAGAAGATATCTTTTGTCAGGGAAAAATAATCTTATTCTGTTAATGTGGAACCATAAACAATTTAAATTCATCTTAACAGACTTATATAAAACGGAGAACCTATTTTGATGAAGTTTTGTTCATTGAGCTGGATGGTTTGGTTGTGGAGATTTCATCGTTCTTCTGAACGACATCATTAGCACAAACTTCAAGTAGAAGTGAAGTATTCAAATTTCCTCACATGTGACTCACAGCTTGTCCTGTAGACCTAGATGTTAATTGGTTACTGTTAATCTTAAACGTGTCATCGAAGTCTACACAATAAGCTGTGAGTCGTATGTGGAGATATTTGAACACCTCACTTCTACTTGAAGTTTGTGCTAATGATGTCGTTCAGAAGAACGATGAAATCTCCACAACCAAACCATCCAGCTCAATGAACAAAACTCCATCAAAATCATCCACCTGAACTAAAAATCTTCTGCACCATCTCAACGGATTACGTATTTTACATGTTTTTTTCTTCAGGTCTACTTTACTGTATAAAAATCGGATAATTTTTTTTCTTTAGAAACACTCGAACGTATCATCTAATTCTATAAACAATCAAATTTAAACTTTCTTTTATTATAAAACAGTTTGTCATATGTCAAAGTTAATGGAGAGAAAAACATACAGTATCAACATCGTATAAATATCAGTTACTTGAATAATCAGAAAAATAACATACACATTAATAAATAATAACAATTTAGAGATATCTCTGTGATAGCTAATACCATATAATAGATAATTATTAATTTAATTCAATTGATAAATATTATACTTATCTATTCTATTTGTTTTGATGAAACATTTTGACATATTGTAAAGTATGGCAAAATCAAATAGAATAAACAATTTAATATTGTCACTAGAATGATATCTTCTTGAATTCTGGAAAATATCATTTAATTTTACAATAAAATAAATATATAAGGTTAAATCTATGAAATATTCTGAATATTAGTGAATTTCTAGGAAACAAATTACATTTTAATCAGAAAAGGGGTTTTTTGTGGATATTATAGTAGTTTAACAATTAAATTAATGAGTCAATTAAAGCTAGACTACCATGAAAAACCTGGAAGCACTGTATGGTCGTTTCGTCCTAGTGTTGGACTCTTCAACAGTGCGCATCCACGATCCTGCTCACAAGATTCGAATTAAGGACCTATCGGTCTCGCTCGCGGGATATCATATGCCCACTAGTGACTGGCTTTCAGATGTATTTATTACAGTTCTAATGAGAAGACATGACCAGTGGAGTTCAACCGGGTCTGTTATGAGATAATAACTCACTGAAGACAATGGTGGACGGTGACGCAATGTCGTCGATTGATTGAAGTTAGAGATTAACACCGTTGGATGCCGGCCGGCTCAGTAGTCTAGAGCTGGAGCTCTCGCACGCGAAACCGGTAGGTTCTCTGTTCGAATCCCGCAAGAGGAATGGCGGATGTACACTGTTGAGGAGTCCTACATTAGGATGAAACGGTCGCTCAGTGCTTCCACCTTTCCTATGGTGGTTTAGCTTTGATTGACTCATGAATCCAATTGATAAATTGTATTTTTATTAACATAACCATTCGGAACTGTATATGATAAATTGAAGCGTAAACATTTCAGTCATTATTTCCATTAATTTAATTTCAGCCCGTTATTATCAACTTATTTTCAAAAAAGCTTAGTTCCTTTTTTAATTTATTAACAGAGATAATAAAAAATAAACAGTTAAGATAACTAAACAACAATATAATTGATCAACACATAGTAGCTTACCATATTTCTAAGTGTAAACAGTGTACCATTTCCACTGTTGTCTGAAGTGATAAATTGAAAACCAATATGTACAGTTTGTTGAATTGTTGTATTGATATAAAAACTAGTAAAAGGCATTTCTATTGGAGTATTGGCAACATTAATCGACAATAGTTTACATTGTCGATTCATATAAGAATCAATACATGAACAGCTGATTAAGAGACAAAAATAGATTGATATAGTTAAAAAGGTAAAATGTAATACTAACTATAGAATAAAGTAAAGTATTGACAAATTTTACACATGAATAAGTGTATCAGATACTTTTCTCTAAGGATTAACTGCTTCATACTGAAAAAGCCAAGTTTTCATAGTAAGTAATGCCTGTCATAAAGATTAGAAGCTCTAACTTTAAACTGATATTCAGGTTTGATGTCATAGATATAATGTGAATTATCATAAACAAACCTAATCAACTATCTTTTCAACAGTGTAAAAGTCTTACTTTTAATTTTCTAATCAATTTCATCTCTCTGATTTTTTATCTAATTCAAATGAACACTTAACAAAGTCCTTTATATATTGATGTAGAAATCTAAATTTTGTACATGCCTTTTTATCAATTTTAAGCCATATATATTGTGGTGTGGGTTACTTATATCCACATAAGTAGTATGTTAATGTGGTCAGGCATAGAATATATTTCAGCAGAAGATCGATAAGGAAAGAATGAAAACGGAACGCAATTGGTATGAAAATGCATGGACAATGAATTCTGAGACAATCGACTGATATTTGCAGAAGAAACAGCGAACTTTGGGACGATGAATTGATATTTTGCAAATTAACTATTTACTATATGGTTCTCAGATTTTATTGAGACGCTCTGTAACGTTGTGCCGGATACATTCGGTTGTCCCCACTCGTGTTCTTGTTCACTACACATTACTTGTTTGGAAGAATACTCATCGGAAATGAAACTTGAAATTAAGTAAATTCATCACATTTCAATGTAAACAAATAATGTATTCAAATTAAGTAGTTGCTCTTAATCTCTTCACGTTGAATGTAACCAGAATGATGTATACAATTAAAAAATTAAAAAACATATACTAATTTGTTCATATTTCAAGATGTCGTTATATTTAAATTAATATCCCTGATTTACAGCATTATACTTCGTCAACATTTAAAAATAACTGTCATAAAAAACACGTTTTATGAAATCCAGTTATAATATTAGATAGATATAAATGAAATAGTTAGATCAGTCAGTCAGCTACGACGTAGGACCAGGCACATATATGCATCGGTCCAAGTTGTCACACATCAATAGCACAACAAAATGAACATGGAATTCATAGAAGTAGTTAATTCGGTGGTGCTAATATATAAAAGAAACATTGCACATAAGGATATAGTAGAGGAAGAAACAATTAGTTTGTAGAAAAAATACATAAAGCAATTTTAATCTCATAGCTTAAGTGAAGACAAAGAGTATATACACCTACGCTATTTTGATCGATTCTGAGCCATTTCACCCAGAGTCTCCAACCATTGCTCACGATAGTCAAGCGGACTCCAACCAAGTAGTCTGCATCTACTAACATGGCTAAGATTAGAAGTTAGTGAAGTCATCTGTGTATGATTGAATAATCACTTTTATCATTAGATGATGATAGCATTTCTTATGTATTAGATAATCGAAGACAAGTTACTACGCGTATATATATATATATATATATATATATATATATATATCTTACCCTAGTGTATAATCTCTGTAGTAGATAGTTCTAAATTCAGTCGAATATTTCTGCTCAGCAATTGTTAACCTCAGAAATTTGTTACACTCATAACAACTTGTAATGTAAGTTGTAGTGTCGGTTGCTATGTTAAGCCCACATAGCTTAGTCTAGCTTCCGGACAAGCCAATTTACTCATTCTCTTCGAGTCACATTTTGAACTTTTTAATTATTCACTTATCAACCTTGACTGTTTTTATATGAGCGCATGTGTGTACACTTGTTATCCTACCTATCACATGTCTGTATTTAATTTTTGTGTGACTATAAATATTGATTAACGCTTGAATAAATGGAGTTGGCTTACACTCTTTCTCCACTGCTCGTGATTTCATTTCATTTTTCTCTGTCCTCTTTGCTTCCTTCTCCACGTCTCTCTGATTGTCTATTCTGATCAACGATTGTACAAAACATACGTATTCAAAAATCCATTCTCGTATTTAACTTATTTAATTCTGTTATTTATCAACGTGATTTAATTCGATATTTATATTAAGAGGATTGGAGACATGTATACTTCAATAACAATCAGAAACGATCTACCTGAAGTAGAATCTCGAGCCACTAGAAAGTCAGTTCAAAAATGTATACCAAGCACATATTGCTTTTTCAATTATATACCAAAATAACATCTCAGTTTCAGTATTCAATTGTTTATGATTGGGTTCCAGGCAATTATTTTAGAAAATGAATGAAAAAGAAAAATTGAAACTAGACAATCGGTAAAAAAATACTTTGTTTACCTGTAACGTTCATTAATAGTGGTTCTTGTTCCAGAATTCAAACATTCCGGTAGATTTGTTGGAGGACTTCCCATAAGACAAAAACATTTCGGAATTATTACTGTTATTAAAATGATTACTATTTTACATAATAAACATAATGAATTAATAAACATTTGGCACTTTGGAAATTTGATAAACACTAAAATAAAACAATCCGAAAGAAAATAAGAAAAAAAGTTAGGTATATTTCACTGAAATGTTTTACAAATATTAAAAGGCATTTACAACAAATATAGTAAACCAGTTGTACAATTCATTGTATATTGTTTATTTGATATTTAGAACTGTAGTTGATCTATCTCTTATCGGCATATGTACATCCTGTTAGGGTTGTCTCGATGTTGCTTTCAGTCACAAGCATAATAAGCAAAAATGGATGGCGGCTAACAGAGGAATCCAGGACGCGCGTTTTATCCTATTTACGATGCAAGTACATTCAGTTGACGAGTCCCAAATAGGGCGAGACGCACATCCTGGATTCCACTGCTAGCCGACATCCATCTTTATTTATAAAGTGTAATTGTAATAAATTAATATCGTTTGATGAATAATAAAATTCAAAAAATCAATGTACAATTATTTCATTTCGTTTTGTGAATCCTCAGTAGTGAGCATCCATGGACTTTTATTTGAATGAAACTAAAATATAAACGATTCGTATTAAACTTTAGACTTTCAGTACTACTGAATTAAAATCTATTCTTCATTATATTCATTCCATGACAAAACAAGATGATGCTTAGTTTTATTCAAAATGACTGTCTGACTTCTGATTTATCCGAAAAGACATTATTTGCAAAATAAGATTAAAAATATTATTGACTGGAATGTTGTCGATCAATTTTATTGACGGTAAGGTAGTTGATAGTTTAAAGATTTATTTATTTGATCAATAACAGTTAGGTTTCCTTAATAATTAATTACGACACCAATAGAAATGTGAAACTAGTCGCACTATCAATCATATGAGTAAATTTAATCAATAGTATCGGGACAATTTCAAGGATTTGACACAATAGCTTCAAACTTGAAAGCAAAACTAATTTAGTTGTTCGCCATTGAGTAGTTGCTTTATTCACACCACTCAAAAATGATTCACAAATAAACTAAGAAATCAATTATACTATCCAGTAAGTTTAGGAAGAAATGCTACATCTTTTAACAGTGCCATCCCTTCTAGTTCGGTAGATTGTGAATGTCATATTAAAGTAGATGAGAGCTTCTTAGTTTTATATTAAATTCTAAATAATCTACATAAAGTATCCAGAATACAACTCCTGTAAATAGAAAGAACCATTGTGATCGCCTGAAGACCTGACTTATGCATCCAAAAGTTGTATATTCAGCCCCTTTATTTACCTTGACCAACAACTAGATCACTACAATATTTTTATATCTGCTCTGTTCCATTTTCATCTTACAGATGTGTTTTTCAAATTTACACGAATTTCTCATCATAATTATTCCAACAATACCTTTCTTAATATGTTGTATATTTACGAGACGTTATTAACATTATTACTGTTGTTATTAGTACCTTAATTAACCAGATAAAATTTCCTGTACTGTGTATTTTATTCACATGACTTATTTTATAATTAAATTGATTGTATTTCGACTCTTCATAATGAATTCCTCCAACCTTTCCCAAATTAGTCTTTTTAATGTATAAATGATGCAGTTTTGAAGTATTTGTACCCGCAAATACTCCAAAGTTCATCATTTTTCACTACATAACTTTATCTAACTCACTAGCATGACTTAATTTGGCCTTTTTACTACAATAATTATGGATATATACATATGTCGAGTGTGATAATGAAGTTACCGAAAAAAATTGTTCATTCCGTAACCAAGATTTACTTTTTGATAGAATATGTAATTATTTAAATTACTAATAAAACTGTAATAAAAAGTAAATAATGTATCTAAGTAGTTTAGAAGAATGAAATTGAAAAAAAGTTACTATTTATTATAAGGATTTCCATAGAAGTGAAATAACTTGTCCCAGTGTTATGTATCTACAAGTTATAAAATCCGATCAAGGAAACATTTGAAACATTTGAATCTGCGAAATTTCACTTTCATAGTGATAACTGTCAGATAGATAATTAGAATAATTTAATGTTCAGAACTTAAAATAACTAGTCATAAGTTTATGGTTTACTTATGGTTAAATAAATATTAACTATTAATCATAGTAGCTTTGTATCATATGGTTGTACATAGTTACATTGTTTGTAACAGAAAACCATGTAAATTACAAGGTATCCTTCAGTTTGACATGCATTAAATGCAAAGAATTTATGTTTATTATATTATTTCAGAAATCTATTACTCTACATTTAATCACAGACACCAGACAAAATCCATTCTGCATTTTATTTGAACATTTTAAGATATACCTAGCAATTTTCAGTTTGGTTTCAAGGTAAAACATTTAAGTGTAATATGATGTGTGCTACTGATGTCGACAGATATAAGTAGTATGTATCATCAATTGGAAGTGGCAGAAGGTTAAGAAGATCGGAAGAAAGAGAACGAGAACAGAATATAATCGATGTGGAAATGAAAAAACAATAAAGTCTGAGAAGATTGATTGACATTTTGCAGAAGGAATAGTCAAGTTTGAGACAACTGATTAATATTTTGCAAATGAAGAATTTACTGTATGGTTCACAGATTTTATTAAGATGTTCTGTAATTTTGTACTGAAATACATTCGATTGTCCCTACATGTGTTCTCATTCACTACAGTACAATTAAATATTTGCTATATATATCATTTGTTTTATCAAACAAGTTTATAAGAAAAATGTAAACGATCATAGAATGATATATTTACACTTGAAATTTTGAAAAATAAATAAAACTAACAACTTCCTTTAACTTTTCTCTACATCGAACAATTTAGATTAACACATGGATTATCAAGATTAATTATTTTTATAAACAGGGTCATTGTTAAGTATAAACAGAACATATTATTTTTCGGTGAAATAATTGTAAGACAAAGGTAATTGAAAAAGAGAAAAAAGCACTATCCAGTTCTGTTGCATGCCAACACAAAATCTACAATGATTTGTCATAAAAGTTCGTTAGTCAGATGGTACATTGTATATATGTAACTATGTAATATGTATATATGAATATCATTCACAAATGCAATTATTACACATATGAAAATCATTGGAAATATACAGTCATAGTTAGTCAGTCTAGTCATTCATAAATAAATGTGCATAACTTTTAAAAAATAAATATTACTTCATATATGCATCAATCAGTCAGTATATATGTAGTATTCATCAGAGAATGATCACGATTAAAGTACTGTCAAAAATGGAGATCATTGGACAGCTATTTTTTGTAATATGGCAATCTTCAACAACACACTTTATACTAACCTATAATGTTTTCAATACAGGATCTTCAGGTTCAGATCCTAGAGCTCAAATGATATATTATTGATCTGGAATCCATTTGTAAACATTTCTAAATTTGTTTGTAATCCCTTCGTCAAACTATAATTAGCTACTAAACAACCTTAAACAAATTTTACGTAAGAAGTTTCATGCTTTAAGAAAAAAAACTTTAAAATTTTGCAAAAATTTTATTTGTTTGAGTTCATTGTGAAACAACTCTTGATTAGATCTTATAAAGTTTTAGCGAAAAACACAAAGAAGCTGTATAGTAATAAAATTAAAGCATTTCTAAAAGATCACAAATGAATGATAAAATACTTCGCTAAACAATCAATTCACTCAGTATTTCATTCAACTAATAGGAACTTGTTAATCAAATGCAAGAATACAATTCAAATAAATATTCATTATTTTAAGTATAACTTTTAAGTATAATAATAATTACATCCAGGATCATTAGGTCTCATGACAAGAATGGTATATTTTGACTACTGAATTGTTACACAACAATTCATATTTTTAACATTAGCAAGTTTACCATTGATCATAATTGACAACTATTTTGTTTGATAATTGTCGTATTACTTTTAAATTATATGAAATTTACTGCTAATGACAATAAATATCATTTATTAGAAGAGGTTTTTGTGAATATTCTAGTAATTTCAATAGTTCAAATCATGAGTCAATTGAAGCTACACCACCATGAAAAACCTGAAAGCACTGGACGGCCGTTTCGTCCTATTGTGAGACTCCTCAACGGTGCACATCTACAATCCTGACTCGTGGAGTTTGAACCCGGAACCAATCGATCTCACGTGACAACGCTTAACCTCTAGACCACTGAGCCGGCCGGTATCCAATGATGTTAATGCCTAACTTTAGACACGAGTTCAACATTAGAAGTATCCATATCATAAATTCATTTCAGTAAATCAATTATACAAAATAAACATAATTTGTCTAAGAATTAAACACTATTAAGTAATATATTTTAATTATCAACCGTTCATTGCTACTAAATAAATAATCACTGGACACCAATATTGTTGGATTTAATTAGATTAATTTTTTTATCAGTATGGGGTTCTAAAGATTATTATGTTTTTGATTAAGATCATGAACCGATTAATGTTAGACCATCATTGACCTCAAGTGTAAAATTAATTTTAAAAAGAGAAGGTAATCAAACAAACGATCAAGGTCAAATTCAATCCATAAATTAAATTATTCATTTTATATTTTTACTCATAATTTAAATTAATTTCAATAACTCTGTATAACTAAATCCTTTTTAACGATGGATAGAACCGTAGGAATTTCAAATTTCTATGTTTAAAAATAATTTAACATTTCTGACCATAACGGCTTCTCACTAGAACTCCAGGAAATGCCTCTTGAAGTCAGTCATTGGTGAGCAGATGATTATTATCGGAAAGGGTTTTGTGGAGATTTTAGAAATTTCACTAGTTAAAATCATGAGCCACTTGAAACTAGACCACCATGAGAGACTTGGAAGCACTGGACCGCCGCGTGGGGGGGTGGAATCGTAGATGCTCACTGCTGAGGAGTCCCATACTAGGACGAAACTACCGTCCAGTTCCCTCAGGTTTCCATGGTGATCTAGCTTAAATTGACTCATGATTTCAACTAGTGAAATTTTATCACTATAATCAAATCAGTATGTT